AAAGAAAGAATGAAAACAATATATTGAAGAAGTATATAGAAGAAATGCATGGGATGGCAGATTCTTTCAAAGAAGAATCCTGAAATTTTGGAAAGTGAAGTGAAAGCTGCTCTCACAGCAACTAGAAGAAGTAAATCACCATGGGTAGGTGGGATATTCATGGAGCTATTTCAAGCCACAGAGACTGAATCTATCAAAATTTTAACAAGAATATGGCAACAAATGTAAAACAAATAAATGGTTCACAGATTGAAAAATTCAGTATATATTTCAATCCTAAAGAAACCAGACACTAAAACTGAATTAACTATAGAACTACTGCATTAATTTCCCATGCAAGAAAAGTGACTTTCCACATTTTAGAATAAATATTTTTGTCAGATGGAGAGAGAAATATCAGATGCTCTAATTGGGCTCATAAAAAGAAGAAGCACTGGAGTTCATATTGCAAATATAGATTGCCTATCAAGGAATTTCAGAAGAAAATCAGTTTGTGCTTTATGGAGAGCAATAAAGCTCTGCACTGTGTTGATCATGAAAAACTGTGGAATGTTCTAAAATAAATGAGTGTGTGTATCCTATACAGTGGTGCCTTGACGTATGACTGTCCCGACATACATCCATTTTGAGTTACGACCAGCTCCGGCTGCAAAATTTTGCTTCTACATGCAACCGGAGCTTCGAGTTACAACCAGAAAAAGGCAGGGGGAAAAAGGCGGGGAATTCAAATTGCTACCCGTTGGTGGCCAAGAGGCTGCTTCTTTGTAGCTCTTTCACCCCAGCAGTTAAGAGAATGTGCGATCGGAGGAGGCTTTGGACTGCCTGGTAAGGTGCTGCTTTCTACTTTCTAAAAACTGTTTTGGGTGGGTTTTGCAGCATGGTTTTGGGCTGGAGGGTGGGATTATGTTTCTATGCTGTGATGGGTCTTGCAGGGTTTGTTGGTTGTTTCCACTTCCCCATTTCCAACAGGTCTTGCAGGATTTGTTTGTTTTTTGCTTCCCCCCACCATTAGTTTTTTTTTTGTGGGGGTGGTTTTTTCTTTGGCCAGAATAGATTAATTGCATTTCAATGCATTCCTATGGGAAATGGTGCTTTGACCTACGACCATTTCGAGTTACAACTGGAGTTCCAGAACCAATTAAGTTTGTAAGTTGAGGCAGCACTGTACTCTAGACAACAAGCCTTCATTAAAGCAGAATATGGTATCCAACTGGCAATAGTGTCAAAGAGGACTACATTTCATTGCTCAATCTTGTAAATGTGCAAAACATAAGATATGAACAGCTGGATTAGAGACAGAGAAGTGAAACTTGATGGAAGGAACATGAATAATTAAATTGCTGATAACAGTGATAACTTGAAATGGGTACTATGAAGGTTAGGGAAAAATGCATAAACAGGATTACAGCTGAACTTTAGGAAGACAAAAATAATGTCTCCAGAAGAATTATTTCAACTTGGAGAACATCAACAAAATTGTCAAAGATCTTCTATACTTTGGTGCAATCATCAACCAAAATAGAGATTTCAGTCAAGAAACCAGAAGTCTGAAACTTGGGCAGGCACCTGTGAAATAACGATGAAAGTTTCTCATGAGTAAGAATGTGTTGCTGGAGACCAGGATCATTGATAGCTCTTGAGAGTCCCCTGGACTGCAAGGAGAACAAATCTATCCATTCTAAAGGAAATCAACCCTGAGTGCTCACTGGAAGGACAGATCCTGAAGCTGAGGCTCCAATACTTTGGCCATCTTATGAGAAGAGAAGACTCCCTGGAAAAGTGTGAAGGCAAGAGAAGAAGGGGACGAGAGGATGAGATGGCTGGACAGTGTCTCTGAAGCTACCAACATGAATTTGACACAACTCCGGTAGGCAGTGGAAGATAGGAGGGCCTGATGTGTCTGGTCCATGGGGTCACAAAGAGTCGGACACAACTAAACAACTTAACAACAACAACACTAGATAGATATGTGAAAGCTGGACTACGAAGAAAGCTGACAGAACAAAAAATGATTCATTCAAAATGCAGTGTTGTACCATGGACTGCAAAAAAAGGTTAATAAGTGGGTACAAGACCAAATCAAGCCTCAACTCTCTCTAAAAACAAACGTGACTAATGTCAGACTATTGTACTTTGGACATATGCTGAGAAGACAAGGGAGACTGAAAAAGACATCAATGTTAGCAAGAAAGGAAAATAATAGGAAAAAAGGAAGACCTAAGATGAGATGAATTAACTCAGTAAAGGAAGTCACATTGCTGTGTTTGGAAAATCTAAACAGAGTGGCTAATGACAGGATCTTTTGGAGGTTCTTGATTCTCAGGTGACCATATATCAGAAATGACTGGATTACATGTACCAACAATATCCACAGATGACTGACATTGAAACTGGATCTTCTGCATGCAGAGCATGTACACTGTCACTGTACTATAACCTCTCATCCTTCCCTCATTGCATTTGACTGAACTAAGATCAACCAACTTTGCTGTAAGCTTCTATTGTTTGGACTGATTTATACAGTGTTGTGTTTGTCAGTCATACTGACACTAATGGAAATGCAGGACATTCAATGCAATTCATAAATAAAACCCACAATGCTTTTGTGCAAACATACCAGAAGAAAAGCATTCAGCCTTGAAAATACTAACCTTTTGATAATTGTGAAGCAAAGCCCATAGTGCAGATGCTCCTATTCTTCGAGCTGCAAGGTTATCATTTTCCAGACAGGAAGACAGCAATGCAATAGCTTTATCTATGAGGAAGACAAAAGACCACACATGTACCTGACAAAAGGCCATTCTATCACAATTTCTGCTCCTCCAATGAATTCCTACCAGGAATTTGTCTCTCTCTTTCTGTGATAAATATTACAACAAATAATTTAATTTTGGCTAACATCTATGCCTTCAGGCATTAAAATTTGCTTGCTGGAAAAAATAAATTTAGATATAATAAATAAAGCTAAGACATTTAGATAACCTGCAATGTATCTTTTAGACTGCTGAGTGCTAGCAAAGGGAACACAAAAGGTGTAAAATGGTGGCAGCTTGTTCTTTATAAAACAAAACAAAACATCCAACTGTACTACCTTACCACACCTGCAGTTTAGGAGACGGAGCCCAGGAGAGGAATTCCTCAACTGTGGTGCTCCACATCTAGAACACTATGCCCAGAGAAACCAAAGTCAAGGTTGGATTGCTGGATTGTCTTGACATTAATGATTTGAAGGTTTCTGCTGGGTAATTTTGCAGAATTTTACTGTCTTACTTAAAGCTGTACAGACATTGTTGTACACTGACCAGACTCTAGTACCAAAGTGCGATTCATATATTCATTCAATAAATTACTAACTAATTTGCTAACTGCAGTCTGAAAGACTTGATGCAGCTCTCTGAATAAACTTATAGTGCATTCTAGCGTATTATATTACCAAGTGCATTAACTGAAATTAATATATATCTACATCTATATACTGTATACATCTGTATACTGTGATTCATTCATTTACTTGATTTATATACCACCAGAGCACTATTCGGGTGATTTACAAAAAGGAAACAGAAACCCAAACAGAAATAAAACTGTAGCAGATTTAAACATTCTGTTTACACACAAAATCTTTCATATTAAGCATACATCTGTAACCTACATTTCCATCAAATGGCAGTAATGCATTATAGTAAAAGTTCAAACAAAAGAATTAGTACTTACCATTTGCTAGTATCTTGGCTTTGTTTGCTGTGCTAAAGCAGGTATTGTGCAGAATCAGAAGAATTGTACACGGATTACTTCGGTGTTTGTACTTGGCCAGCTCTGTAAGTTGTTCTAAACTACCATTCAGCTTCACAATCATTTGCTGTCCATCTTCTCCAAATGACAAATTCAACAACAGCTTCAGCCAAGCAACAGCCACTACACTGAGGCTTTTATTACTCCCTTTGGGCAATGACAGCGACAAAAAGTTCTGCAAAAAGTTATTCTGGAATAGGAAAGGGATAAAATATACCATGCTACTCAGCAACATATTTCCACAAACCTTCTGAAAGAATTTATTCCCAAAATAAGATATTTTTCTGGATATATTGAACAAGATATTGGCTGAAATCCTCTTACTTGGTGTAGTGAGTCACATTAGAACAGTCCCACTGAATCAGCGGGGATTTTGTAGGTCAACTCTTCTATAAATTCAAATAATGCAAATAGGTCTACTCTAGTTGTAATTTACTATGCTAAAGCAAGTCACAATCGCATTTGAATCAATGGAAGTTTGACCCACCAATTCCCATCTGATTTTATGGGCCTAGTGTTGCTTGCTACGCTAACCAAGAGGATTTCAGTCACTGACCAAAAACAAAACTTCTAAAATCTTGCTTATTTGGTTCCTCCTTCTTAAACAATCCTTCAAATTATGCAATCTACTCTGTGGCCATTAACACACTGCTTCAGTCTGATCACACCTTCAATGGATAATCTTCATCTACACAAACATGTCATTTACTAAACCTTTTTAACAGTTCAGCACTACTCTGAAATTGCAATGTTATTCTCACAATGAGTTCAATAATGCACTTATTAATAAAATAAAGCCCTTATGTTCCTGTACTACTTGGTAAATCCAATCTAGTAATCTGAAAAAAATTACAATCAGATGTGTTGTTGGGAGGTCATGTATGGTAAATCCAATCTAGTAATCTGAAAAAATTACAATCAGATTTGTTGGGAGGTCATGTGCAACCAGCGACCAACTGCAAAAAAGTATTGATGAATTAGTGATTGTCAAAGCTATGGTTTTTCCTGTTGTGATGTATGGAAGTGAGAGCTGGACCATAAAGAAAGCAGACCGCTGAAGAATTGATGCCTTTGAATTGTGGTGCTGGTGGAGGCTCTTGAGAATCCCCTGGACTGCAAGGAGAACAACCTATCAGTTCTAAAGGAAATCAACCCTGAGTGCTCACTGGAAGGACAGATCCTGAAGCTGAGGCTCCAGTACTTTGGCCATCTTATGAGAAGAAAAGAGTCCTTGGAAAAAACCTTGATGTTAGGAAGGTGTGACAGCAAGAGGAGAAGGGGACGACCGAGGATGAGATGGCTGGACAGTGTCATCGAAGCAACCAACATGAATTTGACACAACTCCGGGAGGCAGTGGAAGATAGGAGGGCCTGGCGTGCTCTGGTCCATGGGGTCACGAAGAGTCGAACACGACTAAACAACTAAACACACAGGTCCTTAGATCTAAATCCAATCAACCATATTTGGAAAGAGAAAAATGTATAAGATAACCTCCATGAACTCTTGAGAAAGACAGTGGAAGATTTCTTGCAGTACAGCGCAACAATAAATAAAAACAGCAATAACACATGAGAAAGATGGTGAATAAGGAAGGATATGGCACATAAACTGTACAGTGTTATAAGAAAAGGTCTTGGAACAGGTCAGAAACATCCCTTTAATAAAAAAAAAGGTTTACCATTGCGCATCCCATGGAGACTGCTTTCCTGACACTCACTCACCTCTTTTTTGGACACAAGGCAAATGCATTTTTATTCTCCTAGCTTTTCATACGCTGTTAGACTTAACTATAAGGTTCTGAATCTCTCTTATCTGAGGGCTACTGACCGGCTGCATCATAAGTATTCTTTTACTGACTGCAATAGTCAACTGTTGATATTTTCAGCTGCTTTGAGAGCAGTTTTGTGAAAATCCAGGGAGAGAAATTTAATCAGAAACATTATCTACGTTTAGTGACCTTAAATGTTCAGCATCTGTTTTAATCAATGCACGCCAAGTCAAAAGTCGTTCTGGCTGTCTAGAAATATTTTGATATACAAGGCATAAAATCACAAATCCATATTTCTGCCCCACTTCCTGATGAGGATAAAAAGAGCAAAGATAAAGAGATGGTCTTGTCCCACCTACTGCTTTGAGAAGCAAGAAGTTGTGGATTCACTGGGGAGGGAGAGAACTGTACTAATGAAAGCTACTTTGGGAAAGTTTCCGGCAGCATTCATCAAGCATATGTAGGAAATTACGGCACTATTCATAGAAGAATTACTGCATCAAAACAAACCCATAATTTCTGGGAAAAGGCACGTCCTACATGTTTCACTTAAAAGGTAACTACACAGCCGTGAGAAAAAGAGGCAACAAAGAACATAAATGAAGAGCAGGGGATTTAGGCCCATCTTTCCACAAAAAGCAGTGCTGACAAGTGACAAAATATATCCTTGATGTATACAATTGATGTCTAAATGTACTGGAGCTGTATATACAAATTATACTAATAAATCAGCTACAAACCATAAGCATTGAAAGCTGGTGATGCAGTACAGAAAAGCTAGGACAGGGCATAATACAGTCATATTGGCTAAGATAATTGGTTGTCTGAGACAAAACATGGTTCCTTAGCGTATTCAATGTCAATTGTGCAAAACTATACTTCAAGGCATTTGCTTGAACCAGTTTGCAATCAGGGCCCACAACCCAGAAGGCATTGTTGCAATAAATATGAATTGATATCAATATACAGTTTTGCGGAAAGAAGACAGATAGCAAATTTAAAAAAACTGGATAATTAACAAGGTTGAGCTCATTAAGTTAAAGATTCATAGAGGTAATACATAAGATACAGATAAATCAGCCACAACTTCATTAAGTATGACCGAGATCAAAGCGAGTATTTGCTGATGGACATAGCTGTCAGCAGAACTAAGGGCAGATAATTCTACTTCCTTGCACACATGCTAAGAAACCCTCTGTAGAGTAGCTCAAAGTGGCCTGGAGGTCTGGTAGCACTGGTTTGCCACATCTTTTTGCATACCTGAATGATTATTTCAATCATTACCACTACAAACTTAAACTCCTATTCCCATTCTTGTGCTTGGGGGAGACCACATGGGATCTATTCAGGTGTCATCTATTCAGGTATGCTCACAATGTACAGAGGACAGAATTCTAGCCCCACTCCATTCCATATATTGCTATCTTTCCTCACATGGAGGGTGAGGGGACCAAAGAGAGGGAGCTCTGCTTTCTGTTGGCACTCTGCACATGAATTGGGACCCTGATCTTACAAAGTTCTGACTCTTGTGAAGGATCTTTATGGACAGTGGAACTCCTCTCCAGATTTGCTGTCCTCCGTGTGAAGGAAGGTGACAGAAGTGACAACAGAGGAGACAGGGCTAAAGTACGACCCTTTATACACAGTGGTATACTGTATTTTTTGCTCCATAAGATGCACCTGACCTTAAGACGCACATAATTTTTAGAGGAGGAAAACAGGGAAAATATATTCTGAACCAAATAGTGTAATAAAATATTTAATAAACTATAACAGAATAACATTTGAACCATGTAAAGTGAATAGCAGTCAACAGTAGCATTAAGAACCATTACCACTGTCATTAACAAATGGAGAGACTTAAAGCTTTGTATACTTTAGTTTATGTACCATAAATTTGTGTACCAAATGTGGGAAAATCAACTGCCTAAGTGGGGGACTGTGTTTGTGGTTTCCCCTGGTCTGTCTAGAATCGCTCTTCCCCCTTTGGTCCTTGGCTGTTTTCACTGCAAGCTGCCATAGGCCTATTGGCCTTGCTGGTTTTCCAGGTGGGCTCCAGGAAGCAGATCCTGGAAAGCCAGCAGTGCAGAATGGTGAGGTCCAAATAGCAAGCAGTCTCTGGTGCCAGTTCAGGGGCCTCCCAGCATGGCAGTGGGAGGCTTCTGGGTGGTGGTGGTTGAACCCCTTTTTTTTACTGTATTCGCTCCATAAGACGCACATACTTTCTCCCCCACTATTTGGGGGGGAAAGTGCATCTTATGGAGCGAAAAATATGGTAAATAAATAGGCAATGCCCAAACAGCATTACAGGTGTCTTAATAACTTCCCTCCATCTTTTCCACACCCTGAACCACTTTCTGCACGTTCCATATAAACTGAATATGCCTACCTTCTGAAGAACATTCTTACAATCATGAGATATAACCAGATTAGCCAGAAGATTAAAAGTCATCTGTTGAATGTTGTTGTTCTCAGCAAGAGTGTGAAAAGCTAACTTCACAACACTATGCATTAGCGAGTTTCCAGTTGCAGTTCTCTGAGCTGTCTGAAGGGGAGACAATCCGCCACTTGCCACACAAAGAGAAGCACAGCCTTTAAAAACGGAAATAGTGTTGCATATAAGTATTAGGAAGAACACAAATTTTCAGTTTCCATAAAATTAGCTAGAAGTACTTATAAATCCAGACAGTCTAAAGCAGTGGTCCCCAACCTTGGGCCTCCAGATGTTCTTGGACTTCAACTCCCAGAAATCCTGGCCAGCAGAGGTGGTGGTGAAGGCTTCTGGGAGTCGTAGTCCAAGAACATCTGGAGGCCCAAGGTTGGGGACCACTGGTCTAAAGGGGGTGGGGGAAGCCCAGTATCAAAAAGCCTGTAGGTTTGTATTGTATAGGTACCTGGATTGTACTGTTCTTTCAGTATGTGTGGGGATGGACGGTGAGACATAATAAGTCTGTTTAACAGCTAGAAAATAGTTTCCACACGAAGAATACATTGTTTGAAATCCTGTTGCAGTTTTAGAGGGGAACTGCTGTAAGCTAAGCCCTGTACACCTTATCTGTTGCCCAATGAGTTCTGTGACTCAGTATGCAATCATGTCTACAGAGATTTCTTAACTTATGGCAATTTGTTTCTCAAAGATACATTGCTTTTGAAACTCCACAAAAGGAATTCAGCCATTGCATGCTCTTAGCTGCTTATTATCACAAGTGAGACCTGGAACACAATGTTTCTCTAAATAATGCTATATAACATAACTATTTACAGTTCCACAGCCAGCACTTTCAAAGAATTTGGAACATATATATTGTTGGAACATATATGGAAAAGCAGACTAGATTCAGATGAAGGACAATGCCACTTAGAGGTGTACTCACTTTTGTTACCAGCGGTTTAGACATTAATGACTGTGTGTTGCGTTATTTTGAGGGGACAGCACATTTACACTGTTATACAAGCTGTATACTCCCTGCTTTACATTGTAGCCAAGTGTTATTTCTTCAGTGTTGTCACATGAAAAGATATACTAAAATATTTATGAAATGTGAGGGGGTGTACTCACTTCTGTGATATACTGTATGAGTTTTCCATAAGGTATCCCTAAATTATACATGGCCATAAATTGGCATTAAAGGACTTCACCCACATCTTCTCTCTTACCACATGTATGCCTGCTGTCCTCACACTGATGGCAGCAATTCATTTTAAAACCACTTTTAGGCAGCTGGCTGGCCTACTAAGGAAAAGCAGCAATATCACACTTGCCCCTCTTTCCCAGTACTGGAACAACAGGAAAGTAAACAGGCATTTGGAAACACACACACACAAATCCAAGCCAAGAAAACACATAGGGAATATAATGTTCATTTCCTTTTCATCATTCCTATTTTGAGCCAAGGAATTGTAAAGCTTAAGAGACATCACTTGTATTAATGATTTCTCACTGAAACATTTTTCCTCATGCGTGCATATGTTGAGAGCCATGAGTAACTTCAGTTAATCTGATGTGTGAACCAAACTGGATTACACATTGCAGATCCTTGGCTATAAACCTGAAGTTACTGTAAACATGCCCAAGGGATTAGGTACATTCTATTTAAGATAATATGTTTTCCTTTAAATAAAGAGTGCTGCTTCTATACAGTGGTGCCTCGCATAACGAGCGCGCCGTTTAACGACGAATCCGCATAGCGATGCATTTTTTATGATCATTTTTGCGATCGCATTGCGATGTTTAAATAGGGTAAACATCACATTGCGATGATCGGTAAGCATTTCGCTTACCGATTTTCGCCTTGCGATGTTTTAGAACAGCTGATTAGCGGTTCCAAAATGGACGCCGGATCAAGAAAATGGCCACCCGCAGCATTTTCGCGCCGATTCCTCGCTTACCGAGGTGGCAAAAATGGCGGCCCTATAGAGGATTCCTGCTTAGCGGTGAATTTATCCCCCATAGGAATACACTAAACGGAGTTTAATGCATTCCTATGGGGTTTTTTGCCCCGTATAGTGACGTTTCCGGATAGCGACGATTTATCTGGAACGGATTATCGTCGCTATGCGGGGCACCACTGTATTGCCTTACAGAGCTTAAAACACTCTCTGGGCAGTTTACAACATAATTTTGTTGCCTACAAAATTCTATGATATACTACAAGCTGTTCTTGAATGTCCTTCTCTGCTTAAAGAAAGCAGTTTGTGACATGACACAGAAGGCTGCTGTTTGAAAACAGAAACCTAAAGCTTTCCTCAGGCATGTAGAACTTGGAGGTGAATGGCTCTTTGGATCAACAGCCAGATACGTAACTTGAAATGACTCAACTGGGAAAAGGAAAAATAACAACAACAAAAACCCTATCAGAAAATTAAGCTATAGTTGTAATGATGTGCACAGCAACATATCTTCAAAATCCATTTAGAAGAGAAATCGAAGTTCTTGTAAAGCTATTTTTCAAACCAAAAGATGGGTTTTCCTCTAAGATAACATGTCAGATTTAAAATCAAATTTTCCACTACTACTACTTTTACTACTAATGTCTGACTGAAACTATTATAACCTGTGTTTCCTCCTCTGCCTCAAATATGCAGGTCTACTAATGGCACTTTCACCCTATAATTTAGAGACTCATCCTGCAAAGTGGTGGGAGGGTAGAAAATTATATCCAATTGACTGGCTCACCACAAAGAAAATCTTAGGAAGGAAATCTTATTAATGATTCAAGGATTTGGTTGACCAACTGAAGATATGTATCAACACTGAGCAGTTATATTATACCAGTATTATTATTTGGAACCTATGTCTGAAATACTGAAAATACATTTCCTTGGGAGAAAAAGCCTTGCTGTATGAAGAGAACTGAAACAAATACTGTCAAATGGTGCATATTCTACATACAAACACAACATTTGCTCCTTCTTTATGGAGGTAGATGTGCACGCTATGTTAGTTTTTCCTTTGTATATGAAAAGGAAATGATGTGAGAAGAACTTTCATTTGCGTAGCAGAAGAATCGGGGAGAGACAAAACAAATGCCTGTGCCTCATAGCTTTTATTCCAGTGAATATTGCCACCTGCAATATGGTAAATGTCTGAAGCATCTCTCACCTGAAGGATAATTTGCAGTATAGACACAAAGCAAATGCAGAGTTGTTTGCATCAATGAGTCATCCATTAAAAGCCATGGCCACAGAGAGTGCAGAACAGAGATAAGGTGACTTCCAACAGCTGCTGCCTGTCAGAGAGAAGACAGACCAATACCAAATGACTCATGTTAAGTGAACATTGTAAAATTTAATCTGCTCATTTTAAACTGCCTCAGGATTATTTGCTGTTTTAAACTCTAGCAGGTAAGAATCTTAGTAAGATGTGGTAAGGAGGGACAAAATAGGTTCTGAATCTGTGGCTAAGCAACTTGGTGCATTTGGAAGATGCCAGTTTCAGGTAACTACCATGCTCCAAAATATAATAAAACAGATACTAGAACAGGCATTTTAAAATATACAGCACCTTTCTGTTCTAGCCCTATCTTTGAACAGCTGAATTTCTTCTCCATGGAATTCCCTGGATGTAAACAGGAAAGAGATAGGTCCTGCAGCTTCCATTGGTGACTGTGAATGTATCTACACTATGCAGTTGTAGTTGTCTAACAGCACTTTAACTGCCATGGCTCTGTTTAATAAAATCCTAGGATTTGTAGTTTGGTGAGGGACTTGGAACTCTTTGCCAGTGCTGTGCATTAGAGCTCTCTAGGACAGAATTCAGTGGTGCCTCACTTGATGAGGATAATCCATTCCAGCAAAATCGCTGTAGAGTGAAATCCTCGTCAAGCGAAACAAAAAAGCCCATTGAAATGTAGTGAAAACCAGTTAAATGCGTTCCAATGGGCAAAATACCTCAGCGTCCAGCGAAGATCTTCCATAGGGCGGCCATTTTCTGATGCCTGTGCAGCGAAAAATCTGTCCTAAAGCACAGTGGAGAGCCATTTTGCACAGTGGGCGGCCATTTTGAAACCCGACAATCAGCTGTTTTGATCATGGTAATACGAAGAAACATTGTTTTGTGATCACAAAAACATCATCAAGTGGATTCGTCGTTTAACGAGGTAATTGTTAAGCGAGGCACCACTGTACCTCACCAGACTACAGATCTCAGGATTCCACAGGATAGAGCCATGGCAGATCACGTGTTACTGAATTGTTCAAACTATGTAGTGTGGATTAGGATTTGGACTACAAATCCCAGCAATCTCCATTCTCGAAGTTGCATCTGACAGTTAGACACCTACAGTATTTTTGGCTCACCTGAGAGAAAAACCTAAGCTGGAAAAACGTCCTGGTCTAGGAGAGTCTTAGTTTCCTGTTCAAAACAAAAGCTCCCAGCAAGCACCAGGGCAACTTCCTTTTTGAACAGGAAGCTCAATGGAGGTCTCTGCTAGATCAGGAAGCCTTCCATCTTAGAACTTTCTTCCAGGTGGGCCAAACATAGGGGTCAGTCTGTTAAATGGGATTGACAGTAAGGAGAATTCTAGGATTTGTAGTTTTTTTTAAAAAATTACATCCCTAATGTGGATATACTCTATCTCTCTGGTGATTGGGAGGGGTGTTCAGCTGTGTTTCAGTTCAAATTTGCATATCACTCTTGTCTCTTACTTTGCAGCCTTCATTTTGAAAGAAGCAATTTCTTAGGAGTTGCATGATGAGGTTTAATTCTTTGCTGAGATTGTCATCCTAAGGGAGGAAAAGTGTTTTTGCATCAGTATTCAGGCAGAATCTACTTTCTCTGACATATACAAAGCTTTTAGATTTATTTTACCATATTTCAACTGCACCTGATCAGCTGGCTTTTCATGCTGCTGACATTCTAAACTGTGGGAGAAAAAAATGGATTTGAAGCCTTACCTAACACTAAGAATTGTTGAAGTTCTACCATGCCATTCATAATGGCTGTAATATTTTCAATCATAGTGAATCCGCCAGATACCGATAAAAAGGACTTGTTCTCCAAAGAACAACAAAAGGTGTGGAAGTGAAGTGATAATATGAGGGGGGAAAACTGTCGTTGGTTGGTTGGTTGGTTGGTTTTTGCAAAATCTGTCCTTATTATAAACAAACATGCACCAGTTAAAAAATAATCCTCTGTGCTGACTTTAAAGAGTTTTACTTCTGCATACTAAATAATATCTAAAACAACTCACTGGCAAAAAGATTTAAATATTCTCACAACTGGTTTCATCATTCCATGTGCAAAGGTCTGACACTAGCTATAATGTATTCTGAATGTGATCTGTGCAAAGATCGTTTTACATGGCTGCACACAAAGTTTGGGTACCACTAATTAGCATGTTTATACATTAGAACTGGACTGAGACAGATCAGGCAAAAGAAGAAAAATAGAGGAGCACGTATCTAACTCCCAAACATCAGATGCTTTCAATAAATATCATACTATGGGTGGTTTTAGCACAGAGACATGCTCTGTCTGTAGCTACGCAGAACCTTTGGCCAACATTTTTCAAGTAGCATGATTTTTCTATAAAATAATGATCAAACTGAGGGTCTCAACAGTAGTATAGGAACAAGATGGGTGAAATGTGTAGCTGGAGCAAAGAGAAAAGTAATATAGAAATTGAAATACAGAGTTCATGGGATATAGTACTTTTCACTTCAATTTGTAGATTTTGTTTACCTTTTTTCTCTGAAGTGCTTTTCCAGGCCTCAGAGAATCTAAGTTCAGTTGTGCGTGAATATGTTTCATTTGCTCCAAGCAAGTTTCTATGAGATTGGCTGTAATGAAGAACACACTCTACTAACGAATCTGCCCACAACCAAAAATACTTGCAAAAACAGACACCAGACATTCTGTTTGTAAGCAGTGAGTCACCCTTTCACCTACGTATATACCATTAAAGTTCTATATATTATTTAAACATGCCCAGGTGACAGTCCATTCAAAATGACAAGCCCTTAAGTACCCTAAGATTATGAACACACTATGTTTAAATCTATGTTTGCATTTAATTAAGCAACTGCTTCTCTGAAGTGAACTTAGTGCCCCTCTGCCAAAAGAAATAGAGTCCAAAGATGAAAAAGACATCATAGTCACAAAACAGCAAATTGTATAGAAGTTAAAAAAATACTTGAATTATCTAAACTCCTCCCAAATGACCTGAATGTCAACCTTTTCCATGAGTTCTAAATGATAAAGAGAAGGATCCTGAAAAGCAGGACATACAGTAGATGTCTGCTAAACTGCTGACAACAAACATTTTTGTGTTCATAAGAACCACCAGATGTAAAATATCTTGTAACACCACAGATGCTCACCTTCTAAAGCAGATTTCTGCGCTCTTCTACTGACAGCTAAGAGGAGAAGCAAAGCACTTGCAGCAACTCGTTTCATCACGTCTTCAAAACATGTTCTTTCATAATTCTACCAATAAAATTACATTGGTCACCACACAAAAAAATAATTTCTAGATTTTGTTTACCTTTTTGACATCTTGTCCACGGTTTACAACTGCCACTACAAAGATACTTAGGGTCTTATTTTATTTTCTTTATATACCACCTTATTAGTGCAAGTACCACTCTGGGCAGTTTACAAGTTAAAACTTAAACCCACAAAACCCCAGCTAACCAATTACATTTCACAACATGGTGATCTTATAGGACTAAAACTCATACAAAAATAATGAAAAATATTTTTTTGTTTCCCGTGTAGAAAGGTGACTTGGTGATCATATACAGTATATCAGCTTATCATGACTAGACTTCTACCAATTTCCTATAGTTTACTTACATATTAGTATGACTTGCTTCAGTTACTGTACTTTGTCTGATTTAGCTTTGTCTACACACAAGCACACCTTCTCTTAAATGAGACAACACTGCCTCTATCATTTCCATCTAACTGTGAGTCAAGATGAGGACAATCTGCAATAAGGGAAGCAGTAAAAACAAAACAACTCCATCACCACCACATTTGTATCTAGAACATCAGAAAGCTTCTTTCCATATTCTAAGTTACTGCAACACCATTGTACAATTGTTGTACTGACTAAAAAATAGCAGTTTAGTAGGAAATTTTCAGGAGAACACCTCGGCTACCAGCCCACTTTGAACTCCCCCTGTACTCCAAAACTAGCTGTTTAGTATTCAGAGCACTTGCCATTGGTAGCTATATTCTTCCTCCCTTGCACAGACAAAGAAAGATTAAATGAAGACATATAAGCTGTTTGTGAGTTTCAACTTTCTATTTAATAAATAGAGCATTTCTTGTCTCTCCCACCCTTACTTGTTTGTGAATGCTGGTGATTTTTGAAAGCTGAGCTTCATATACTGCATCCCCTTCCTCTTTAGGAATTCATGGTGACCTGATTCTAAGACATTGGTCTCCAGCTGTCACATCTAGTTTTCTCCTCTGTAGTAAAGTCTAAATGAACCCAGTTCTTCCTCTAAGAGGCATTCTTTTTTATTCCCACTGAAAACTCATTGCTACCTTTTCACTGACTGTTTCTTAGTTTTCATCATGACAACTACCAGTTCTTCAACTTGGATGTTTTCAGATATTTACCACCTCAGTATCTAAGCCTCAGGCCCTCTGTTGCCTCCCTTTGTTCTAGATAACAGGAGTTCTGATATCTGTGATTGCTGTCATTTTACTATTCTTTTCCCTGAAATTATATGGTTTTTAATAAGCAGCAAGTGAATGCAGTTACCTACTTTCACAAAGAAATAGTCAAATAATCTGTCAGTGTGACAGACTATGTTTTGATTCCACCCCCAAATCTTCTTTTCAACCTCTGACCCCTTCTGCTACTCAGTGCCTTTGCTAATCTGCTTAGGTACCATAGGGAGTAGGTTAGTCACCATTTTAAACACAGCTAAAGAAGACTGTAGCATCAGGTTCTAACTTTGAAGTCCAAAAGCTCAGGAAATATACTAAATGAAGGTATCAAAATCATGTGGTGGAAAAGGAATACCAAGCTTTTTGGTAAGCCCTTAAAATCAGCAAAATCAAAATAAGTCCTATCATTCTGAATAATTACAATTGCACACACCCTTGTCTAGTTTTCATTCCTTGATCGTTTATCTATTACTGTTGCTAGAGAAGAGTTCCTGGAACAACAATAAAACTAGAAAAAGCATTCCAATAAAAAATAGACACATAAAGAAGAAAGGGTACAAATAGAACTGCCCTGGATCAATTGTCTTCCAACAGGAGTGCACTTAGCAGTGGGTAAAATCTGTGAATCATGAAGTAAAATCTTCAGAGATGCTGATGTACATCCTAGGACTCTGCTCTGTCCTCAGCTTTCTAGTAAGGACCACTGCCTATACCTGCCCCATCCTCCACTGTTCTTTTTCCAAGGCCTGGCATTCTGACCAGCACCAAGTAGCTAGATCTTGCATTTGACATGCTCTGGACATTCTGGGAAATTACATTACAGTGTAATCATAAAACTCAAATACAGTACACTGAAATCAGAAGAGATACTTCTACCTGAATTAGTAATTCAGAAAGTTTGGTTACAGATGGCTGGCTTCTCTCATCTTTATCTAGAAGGAAAGTCACTGTGGGATGGCAATAGTTATCCTCTTTATTGCGGAGCTCTCTCTTCCCTTCTTCGGAAAAGAGAACAGCAAGGAACTGCAGGCATGTCACGTACAGGTCACGGTGTGTGACAGAGAGATGCACACATTCACATACTGTGTCTAAAAAAAGGTCAGAGAGATATGGATTTTATGCCACAGCACTCAAACAAATGAAGATATCAAAATATGTACTGTATAATAAAATATGTATTATAGTTCTTAATTATATTCAAGGCAGTAGATAATAGGATTGTTTACATTGACTGAAAATAATTTAAATTATGGATCATAGTCAAAAAGTTAAGTTTCATTAGTAGACTACGGCCAGAATCCTACTGCTTACATATGCCACTATAAGTGCAATGGCATAAATCACAGCTGTGAACTGCCACTAGTTAAGGAGTTGCCACTTCTATTCCTCATCATGTTCCAGCTGTATAACCTGGCATGTTATACAGGAATACAGGTGGTGTCTCCTTAACTAGTGGCAATTCTGTTTTGATTTATACCTTTGCATTTATACTGACATATAAGCAACCAGGTGGTGTCTCCTTAACTAGTGGCAATTTTGATTTACACTGACATATAAGCAATAGGATTCTAGACACCTTCTTAGCATCCAACACAAAATGTTGGCAATTTGAACACGTTTTTCAGAGAAAGTATTCAAACTAATTCATGTTCTCCAGGAGGATATAATGGCAACATGAAAGTTAATTATCCCAGAACTAGATGATAGAGACACTTTTGTATGCATTGGATATGTAGAAAAATGGTTAAGCTGTTAAACACCCTGAAATAACTAGTATAGAACAATGGATACAGTTTTTGCTTTAGACCAATTCAAACACTTATCAAATGTATTAAGAAATCTGTCTCGCTATTAGCATATTTGTTTATAATATTTACAGCTCCACCTTTTAGAATGCCCTTCTATAGCCTTCTATAAGCAAGTGAAGGCAATAACAATGAAAATAAACAACACAAATTACAATAAAATGAGTGAAATACTGGTTTGTGCATCCACATACGTACTACTCCATTCTCCACATGTACATTCCACTTATAGAATAATATATGAATAAGGTCTGCATACTGTAACTGTGTAGCGTAATTGTATATGATTTTTAAGCATGGGCTGATGAAAACACCTCTGAAAGTAAGTTCCAGAAGGGATATGCCCAATGAAGGTTTATTATTGTGCCACCATCTCTGAATGAAGCTATTTGGTACTGTAAAAACTTCCTGTACATAATGTGAGATGTCACCCTGTAAAGTAGGGATAGGGATCCTTATGTCCCCAGAAGGTTGTTGGACTGCCACTCCCATAATCCCCAACTAATGGTGAGAGATATGGGAAGGTGAAGTCAAGAGAAGGTGCATACAAAATCTGTCCCTGCCGTAATGGTTCAGGCATTTAGAGAAAACCCACAGCACAAATAATCTGAGGAGATAAGGATTGGATACACAGAATGCAAGAATGACTCTGAGCACCTGCAATCACAACTCCATCATGTATGATTTCCTTTTTTTAATTTTAAAAAAATCATGAATCCACATTTTTGCCACATTCTGCCTCTCACCCGTACTCATTTAAAACCTGGATGCCATTTTTCAAAACTAGAGAGACCACAGTCACTTCTGGTGGTCATAATCCTATTTAAAATGATTATCAAGAGATACAGAAATAATGACTCTGTTTTGCATTTGGTACCACTGTCATGTAAGGAGAAAAGCAAACAAAGATTGTCTGTTTGTTTCCTTTATCATTGATGGTCATGTAATATCACCGTAAACAACGTCCCTCCCCCGCACACCTTCCATTGGTTTAACACCTAGCAAACAGGTTTGCTGAACTCTGGAAATGGTAAATATCCATTACAAATTATACTATGCAATGAAACACCACTGATTAAAAAACAAGTATTACCTATTAGTGCTGTCCAATGTTTGGAAAGAGCTGCAGTCACAGCTACTAGAGAGGTATGGCCACATTTTCTTAAAAGTGTAGCCAAAAATCTGAATAAGTCTTCCCAAGCTTTGTGAACAGCAGCTGATAACTCAGGTCCTGCCAATCAGAAATATAAACAAATTAACACAGCACCAGACTTGTAAATGTCTGTATGGGTTAAAGTTAGACGAACAGGTGTCTATATAACAGAGGGAGAAGTTATTCCTAACATCATACCTTGTAAGCTATAAAAGCAGTTGACAAGTAATGTAAATTTAAGTTTCAACATTTATTATGAATATCATATTTACAAAGAACACATTGGGATAATATTTTAACACTTCCCCCTTGCAGTTTAATCAGTATGGATCTAGCAGAGCTTTACATTTCATGTTGATGGGTCGTGAGCTCTCTTGTTGATCTCAGAAAAAAACCTGACATGCTAGAAAAAAGAAAGGGCCTGGAAAGTCTGGATAAAACCTTCAGGCCTTCTAACTACAAAAGGAATCTTTGCTGCCACTGCAGTTCACCTTTCCTGGGAAATCAAACAGAGGTAGTAAGGCTGCAAGCGACTTCCAGCACAACCCTATGTATGTTCACTGAGTACTGTAATCTATTCATGCTACACTGAGAGCCATAGAAGCATCTGAGGCTCCAGACCTCAGACAGTAGGAAACCTTATTTACTGATTTGTTAAATGATGACATAAAATGCCAAACTGTCATACTAAAGAAATAAAATTCTGGTTTATCTTCCAGATAGAGTGCTATCTGCATGCCAAGCAGTCTTACTAATATAACCCCTTTGATATCTTCAGGGTTTTGAACAGCACAAGGAAGCAATGGGGAAACTCTTTTTGCTCAGACAGCCAAATATAATCACTACGACACTAAGGGACTGATTAACAGTGGCAGCAGTGTACAGTGAATGGCAACTTCCAGATGAGATTGCAGGGTTCTGAATTAAATGAAAGCTTTAAAAACCACACATCTTTTGAGGTCAGCCATCTGACATTTCATGTTTAAAACTGTCAGTAACATATTCATCACCCACATAGTTACCTAAGCCATCTTTTGATCTAATGGAAAGAACTACAAATGTATTTTTCAAGAGAGGTGTCAGTAAGTCATCCCGCACCACAAGACCAGGGTCTACCAGCAAGCAAGACTGCAGTAGTCGGGACAACGATGAAACAAACTGCAGTAGAAACAGAACCTGTTGAAACACAAGAGAAGGGCTCAGTTCATATACTTTCAATACATTTCTCCAGTAAATCATTTTACATAGCAACACATTTAAAAAATAAACTTAACAAATCAGACCAGTGAGAAGATAAAATTTAAGAAAAATGATGCCTAAGATGTGCAACATACTCATAACTAAAGATGCCTTATTCTTAAGATGTAATCCCATGCATAGCCACCTAAGAGTAAACGCCACAGAAGACCGTGGAATTTACTTCTGAGTAAATATGCACAGGATTACTTTGTTAGTCCAACTGTAGAGTGTCAGGCTACAATATTATCCCTCAGAATTCAAATGCATCGAACTTACTTCTTCACAAAGATCTGTAAGTCTAGATAATATTTTGTTTGATGTCTTCAGTCTCCTGCACAGAGGGTATTCTTAAAACCTGCCTAAATCCTGCTGCTAGCCTCAACCAAAGGAGAACCACTGAATCAATTATTGAATGATGAGTGACCATTTATATAAATCCCACTGATTCAGTGCCTGAAATCCTGTTTGCACAGCCATGCCATGTAATATTGATGATGTAATCAGTTGCAGTGATATTTTTTTTTGGAAATTAAAAATTTCTGATCTCTTCCCCACTCCACCCTGCGGCAATAGATCTTGAGGGATCCTGGATCCCCTTTTGTTGTGGGGAACAGAGTGGGGGCTGTGAGATGGGAGAAACTTTTTAATTTCTAAAAACTGCCAATGGTTATAAAAAGTCATCCTGGCAGTGCCAATTTTCTGAAATTTCTTCCATAGATTTGCCCACTCTGCTTCTACAGCCTTCTAAGCTAGTACCCACCACCCTTTCTAGTGCAGGGGATCAGGAGAAAGGTACCTAGTTGTCCCGCGTGCTCCCAGAGGCATTTGGTGGGGCCAGTGTGAAATACAGAAAGCTGGACTAGATGGCCTGATTCAGCAGGGCTCTTGTGTACTTACGATTTGTATTGCCTGTTTCTGTGCCTTTTTCTAGCTCTACAAAATGAGATTAGTAGAACCACACACAGTATTTGCAGTGTGAATGCAGACCCTGAGGTTCAACTCCCCAGAAGCCTTAGCCAGCTTTTTTTCACAAGGCATCACTCCTCTTATCTGAACACACACAGTGCATATTTTTCTTATTACAGTACTTACAGTACTTACAGTACTTATTACAAGTACTTTTGTATAACTGATTTTTATTTTAAAAAACATATTCCTACCCTCATGATTGTGTTTCACTACCACTTTTGGTCATTGCATAGCAAATTCAGTAGTTGTTTTTCAAATGCCTACTACTGCTTTCTTGGAAGGAAATGATTTCTGCTACAAGCTTCACTTTTATTTGAAGTCAATTCATTTTGTCATTTAGAATATATAGTCTGGCTGCACATGCTAAGTGAATTCTACTGTAGCCATTGCCCAAACTTCTTGCCAATACTCCACAAAACTAATCAGTCTCACTGGGACTTCAGCTTTACCACAGGCAGAAGTGCTTAGAGGAAAAGAAAGGGGCATGGGAAGAACTATGGAGGTAGAGAAAAGAGAATCACAGGTGAGGGAGGGAGGCAAGAGAGAGGAGGTAGAAAGAAGGCAGGCACAAACAACAAGAGATAGAGAGAGAAGCAGCAAAGAGAAAGAGAAATTGTTTGTGCCCCAAGCAATAGCTAGAGAACATGTTGAAAAACAGTCCATGACAATCATTTTGTGTTGGAGTGAGAAATATTTAATTGATGAAAAAAGTAACAGGTTCTGGAGTTTTCCCTTGCTTAGTGTATCTTTATGAATAGCAGTGAGCACAAGAGCGACCGTCTTGATTGCTGACACTGACGTTGTCAACATCCAGGCTGGCCTTTGCTATGTAAAGCTTAGCATCTTTTTCCTGCTGGCAGTGTGGGCGCAACACTACGAGGCATCGGAGGACCACTTCCTGGTGTTTTGAACTGCCGATACAAAAGCAATGTCCTACATACATATGCTGGAGGATTTTTGAAAAAGTTAATTGACATGATACAGTTTAGATTCCTCCCCCTCCCCCCATTTTAAGGTATTAACCTTTCTTTACAATACTATAGTTTTTCCACACTTAAGAAAAACAACATCCTTTTCTGAATTCTCAGGAAACACACTATGGGCCTAGTAAGAGACACTGTGGTTAAATACCGGTAGTCTCACTGAAATAATATATCACTGAAATAATTAAGTGATAGCTCACTCAATAAACATAAAAGAAATAAAGACATTTCAGTAGTTAAATCAGTCCAGTATGCATGAGATGTGCCCTAGCATAACAGAATAAAGAACAAACATGAGCAGAACTAACCTGCATTTTTGTGTACTCCATATGTGATGGCTGAGGCAAAAATGCTTTTATGTCCAAGAGACATCTCTCTATCAAACCAGGATTTATAAGACTAAAATACAAGATAGATGACAGGGTTAGCAGAAGCAGACGTGAGTTCACACACGGAAGGCCAACATGTGATTGCAGCCTGCATTTGTGAAGAATTTGGGCTATTAAAAATATTCCAAAAGAAAGTGTTTGCACATTCAGAACTTGGCATTAGATAAGGCCTTCACTTGCAATGAAATCAGTGCACCCTTTCTGGAGAACATATGCTATATGGGTCCTCCATGATATTCTGATCATATAAACTGGTGTAATTTCTATCCTCAGAAAAGGAAAAAAAGGGGGGACTGCTGGAGCAGAAATCAAACTAAAATGATATCTACGTGATCAGGAGTAGAGATGGGTCATTTCCTAGCATAATTGCTGATCCATGGTTCAGTGCTCCGCCTCTCCAGCAGGCGTTCACTTAACAGCAGTGCCCCACCCTGCCTCCTCCAAGTTGCCACTCATTGAGGGGGCACCAAACCGTGAATTGGCTTTTCAGCTGAGAAATGAACTGCACTAAACCGCCAGTTTGTGCCCAAACTCTAATCTAAAAGTTATCAGAAGATTACAGTTAAAACACTGTTATATTATTTGCATGGTGGAGGGGAGGAGAGCACACCCTTTCCACATCCTGAAAAAGGTTCTGGGTTGAAAGAACCCGTAATGAGTAGTTTCCCATCTATGCTTAAACTTCCAGTGGGGTAGCTGTGCAGTCTAGTCTGTTGCATAAAAACAAATGAGTCTTAGGGCACCAAACATATGAGCTTACCCATGCTTTAGATTGCTCAGCTATAAGCATTTAAAAAAAATAGACAAGAAAATACAAATATGTAAATCCATTTATTTATAGTGTAAACCTGCATTCTGCCTGCCTGCAGGTTAAGAGATCAGTCCAACACATAGAAGTGGTGACAACGCTACCTCTCAGGAATATACAAAGGGTGTCCTTGTAGCGGCATTGCTTTACAAGAGTTAAGGGCTACAGATGTATTCTCTGACACTGTGATTCACTTGGAAAACAACAGATGGGGCAGGCAGGAAGAAAAGAAGCCACCTTGGATCCTTTATGAGAAAGGTGACATGTAAATATTTTAAATAAATAAAAATGTGGGGATTGAATAGGAGGCAGAGAACTGAACATATATGGACTGCCACAACCACAACCTCCACAAAGGATAATGGAAGGGAAATAGCCCTGAAAACTAAATTTCAGCTTTTAAAATTTAGAGGCTAACCATAGTTATCCCACTGACCTTGGGCCCATGTTTATAATTTGGCAATGGATACCACTTCCCCCGAAAATAAGACCTGAAATAAGCCCTAGTATGATTTTTCAGGATGCTTGTAATATAAGCCCTACCCCAAAAATCAGCCCCAGTTAAGTGAAACCCCACCCTCCACCCTTGTGCAGCAACCAGAAGATGACATGACGGTATTTGAATAAATGTAGATTGCTGTACATGAAAAAGTTAAAACATCCCCTGAAAATAAGCCCTAATACATTTTTGGAGCAAAAAATAATATAAGACCCTGTTTTATTTTCAGAGAAACACAGTAGCAGTTCAAGAATTCCTTTTAAGCGGGACTCCATAAGGTTTTACAAATTTCCAATTCTCAATGGATATGGACCCTAGAACGACTGCCCTCGACTACCTCCAGTGAAGGAGAGTGCAATAAACTGCTCTGAGAAGCAGGATGTTGTTTCCTTGGAGACAAACTGTAAGGTGTTATGGTTCAGCCAGGACGACAAAAATAGTGCATTCCTATTATAAAGACATCTAGCCCTTTCACGATAGGTTGACAGGAGATTTGAACATAGGGCTCCCAAACTCACACTTTAAATGACTATTTAAGCTGTATTCGGCCATTTTCTTCTATATTTAACATGGGAGGAGGGGTGAGGGGAAGGGAGGATTGCCAGTCCCACCCCTTCTGCCACAGATCTGCTCTCACCAAATAGCAAGTCTGAAGCAGAAACACTCCTGTATGCACTTGGCAAGTGACTGCAAGCTCTGATCGTGCGGAGCTCTGGCTCAAGTGGAACTCCCTTTCATATGAGACCAGGCTGGCCCCCTCTGTTGTCCTGCTGCAGACAGGAAAAAAAATTTTCTCTTAAGGAAAGGCTCTGTAACTGACTGTCTAAGAGGGAACTACTGTTCCTTCCCTTCCTGTGTTCGTATTGTTTGTTTGAATATTATCAGCTGCCTTGGGTCTCTTGAGGAGAAAGGTAGGGGGGCTGTCTATGCATCTTGTATCCATGAACACATATTAAATAGATAATAAATGAATAAAATGGAGAGCTTCTGTAGCTGAACGAGTCTTTGCTCCATACTCATTGCATGGCAGTGAAGAGAGGGAAGAGAATAAATCAGAGTGGCATTTGTTCTTTTTTAGTATTTATATACTCGTTTTTAGCTTTAAATATTGTATTTAATGATGTAAGCAACTTTGGGTCCTTTTTTAGGCAGGGTAAAAACAGGGTAAAAACATTTTAAACAAACAAACCAACGAAAAAATTACAGTATACCATTCTTATGTTTTCTCAGTCCAAAAGACATCAACACTACAATTTGTATCTATTTTATTAGTGATCTGACTGATCTACCAAAATGTTTCTTGATTATGGTTCTTAACAGTTACAATTAACAGACAGCAGGGTAGAAATACATCAGAAATACAGTTGATATACTATGGCTGAAATTCTGTTAGTATAGTAAACTGCAACTAAAGTAGGTGTGAGGGTTCACATGGGGTCTCCTCTGGCTTTGGCATAGACATTATAGGCTCGTGAGTTGCAAAATCAAAACTGGGTTTTATTGGAACATTGAACAAGTTATTATCTGCAAAATCAAAACTGGGTTTTATTGGAATATTAAACAACAAGTTATTATCTTCTAACTCCATTTTAACATTGTCTCTCATGACCAATGGGTCCCATGAGGGCATCCAAACTTCTTTGTTAAACGGGTTAAACTCAGAGTCATTCCAGGGACCCTTGGTAAAGGGATTATTGCCATTCAAGTCCAAAGAGTCCATCCCTGGGTCAATCAACGGTATAGTTTCTTCATCTCCCCCCTTGCGATCAAATAGGGTTGGGTCAATCAATGGTATAGTCTCTTCATCTCTCCCCTCGGGATCAAATAGGGCCTCATCTCCTCGTAAGGGAGCCCACGGTCCGACAGGAAACCTCTCCAGTCTCCATGTTCTTCTCTCCCTTTCCTCTCTCTCCACAGTTTCCATTTCTTCTCTCAGCTCCAGTCTCCATGCTCTTCTCTCCCTTTCCCCTCTCTCCACAGCTTCCATTTCTTCTCTCAGCCTCCAGCGCCACTCACGTGCCTCTGATTCCCCCCCAATACTAGCCTCCGGCGCCACTCACGCGCCTCTGATTCCCCCCCAATACGAGGGTCTAGGAGGCAGACCTCTCCTTCTTCTGTAGTCTGCCTCCTCTCTGGGAACCCAGACCTTTTCACACCTTCCGGTTCAGGGATCTTCCATCCATATTAACTCCCAACCCCCGGGTATATCGTCCCTCCTTCCTTTTGTATCCCCTATTCCCGCCTCCATTCCTTTTATATCCCCTATTCCCACCTCCAGATGGTTCTGCCCCTTTCTTCCTTTCCCACCATTTCCCTCTCAGTCTAAGTGGCTACTGTCATTTTAGACAACCCCCATTTTAACTCATGGGTGTCCACTCCCCATTGTACCATCTTGACGGGTGATGCAAGTGGGTCTGTTTGTGCTCCTGTTCTTTCCTGAGGGAGGACAACACTCCGGCGAGGGCTTCTACCCCCTTGCCTCTTGTCTCACAGTAGGCTCACTTGAATCAAAGGAACCTGACACACTAAAGCCATTGTACCATCTTGACGGGTGATGCAAGCAGGTCTGTTTGTGCTCCTGTTCTTCCCTGAGGGAGGACGACACTCTGGCGAGGGCTTCTACCCCCTTGCCTCTCGTCTCACAGTAGGCTCATTTGAATCAATGGAACCTGACACACTAAATACTTGCTGATTCAATGAGTCTACTCTAGTATAACTTACTATGCTAAGTAACAAGGTTTCAATCAATATGGTCTGTCAATATGCATAAACATCTTTTAAAATTTCCACCAATACACCCAACCTTTTTTGTCAAATGGACTACTTTGGTGGTGTTGCAGTTGACAATACTGGATTATATCACACACCTTCCAGTAATCGGTTTTCAATGCACTGTAGATCAATGGAGACTTGACTTAGACTTTTTGACTTGAGAACCGCCTTCCAATACGGATTAAGTTCTCAAGTCAAGACCCCACTGTACTGGATTATATCACACACCTTCCACAGACAAATTTTAAGATAATGGCTAAGGATTACAAATGGACATATATTTATTAGTTTCATCTAATGAAACAGCAGATTATTATCAGAAGCTCTTAATTAAAAGTAATGGAACTCTTAGATAGTGTAAGTCTGCTCAAGACTTTGCAAGCAGCTATGGATCTTCTAGATGGATTTGAAAAGTTTATCCTGAGTTTTCAGAATGTTCAACTGCTGATCAATACTTGTGACAAAGCTTCGGGTAGCATTTGTCCTATTCACACTCTTTGCTTGTTTGTAATTTCAGTAGTTATTGATCTCTTACCTACTGAGAGCAGTTAGTGTATGTGCTTGCTGAAGAGCAGTTCCAGTGTCTTCTGGAGTGACAATCAGTAGGTTGTCCAGCAAGCTGCACACAGCTGACAGGAGAGGGGGTGTGACCACAGCACACTGATTAGGTCTAATGATAGACTGCAGGGAATTGTGTGGACTCAAAGATGCTGTTGTGGTTGTGTCACTCTGGCCTAAAACACAAAATGAAGGAATCAAGAACAAATATTTCAACTTGGAGACAAACTGTGAATTTACCTAAAATACAGAAATACATTCCTAAACTAGATATAAATGCAGGTCAACTTTGTTAGCTATGTGTAAGTCCAAATGCTATTGTACTTATCAGATTCCATTCAGACAATATATAGCACATATTTTATTTATTTAAAATATTTTACCCCACCTTTCTCCTTGGAAGGGCCCAAGGTGTTTCACATCATTAAAAGGATAATATACAAGAGCTAAAAACAGTAAATGTATAGATATTAAAAAATAAATGAACAAGTATCATATTGAAAACAGTAAATAAAATCAATACGAAAAATACATTTAAAAGCTGTTGCCAAAGCTGAAATCACTTCCACTGGAACAAATAATATGAGCAATGTAAGTATGAGGCAACAGAAATAAATTTCAGAAAGGATCTTTGGCAGTCAGAAACACCCAAGACAGGTAGTAGTGCGTGATAATATTGTTATTACTACAACTCTTGCTAGAATTTATTACATTTATACTGCACCTTTCCATTAGAAAGTAGGATTCAGGGCAGCTTACAGTCTTTATAAAATCAAATAAAACCAACCCCACTATAAGAATCATTAAAATCAACTAAATGTATCAAAAACATTAAAACCAATGAAATGTATAGTTAAAAATACAGCAAGGCAAGTTAGTTTACAGGTCTTCAATATGCAACTTTTGATGAGTACAATCAAGAAATATATCAAGGCAGATCTCTGTATACAGTGAGATTTGTTCATCTTCCATGTCTTTTGAACTATGTGATCACTTTCAAAGTAACCTATAATGGGGTGTGAGGAACAGTGTGGGAAGGAAGGCACAGCCATCCTCACATATGTGTAAAGGATACCTTGGATCATGGATGGGATCAACAATTTTTACCTTGAGCCGTGAGTCGATTAACTGGCATGTCATGCATACTACTACTCTGTGGTGAGGGAGGTGCTTGTAGCTCCACAGCAGACTCCAGAGATGGCGAGGATGAAGTGATCTATAAAGAACCAAATATAGTAATTAATTTTCCTCCACTGACAGTGACATCTTCATGAACAGTTTTTATTACCTGGAATCCAAAGAACATCATGTGTAAATGAAAACTATTCTGTCTAGCCAGTGGAGTACTCTCATTTGGGAACTTATTCAATTCTTTCTCAAACTTTGAAATATTTGTACACTTGCTGTTTTAGCTTTTAAATATTGTCTTTCTAATTATGTAAGCCACCTTCAGTCCCTTTTAAGGAGAAAGGCAGGACAGAGATATTTTAAATAAAATAAATAATAAATAAACAATACATTCCATATAGGACTATAGTGCTTATACCGGTTTGTATTTTTGCTAATTAACTCAATTAACTGAGAATTTCTAGGAATTATTACTGGGGGAAAATTAATACCAACAAAATAACAGATAGCAGCAGTTTCTTTATTCTTAAATTGTGCTGCCTAGTAGCTTCAATTTTTGAGCTCAAGAAAAACAAACTCTTAGACAAGTAAAAATCAATAATAATTTCAAATAGTTATAAGAATATATCTTGTTAGTTTCTCACACCTGCTAAGCCCTTTCCAGTAATAACTTTTTAACTGTGATAGAGGCTAAGGGACATGGTGGTGCTGCGGGTTAAACTGCAGAAGCCTTTGTGTGCTGCAGGGTCAGAAGACCAGCGGTCGTAAGATCGAATCCACATGACGGAGTGAGCTCTTGTCGCTTCTCCCAGCTCCTGCTAACCTAGCAGTTCGAAAGCATGTAAAAATGCGAGTAGATAAATAGGTGCCACCTCAGTGGGAAGGTAACGGTATTCTGTGTGTAGTCGCTCTGGCCACAGGACAACGGAAACTGTCTTCGGACAAACGCTGGCTCTACGGCTTGGAAACGGGGATGAGCACCGCCCCCTAGAGTCAGACATGACTAGACTAAATGTCAAGGGGAACCTTTACCTTTACGTAGAAGCTGAACACAGATAATTTCTGATATCGAAACCAAAATGCTTATAACAGGCATGTAAATCTTAATGACTATTGATTAATAAGATTTGCCTGTGGATGAGCAGGTAGAAAGGCTTTTGTAAAGTGATTAGAAATAGGATCGCCACACATGTGCTACCTTAGGCAGTTGATTTAAGGCAAAAAACAATTTACTCATGTATCTGTGCAAATCTAAACAATTCGTAGTCTTTAAAATACCAGAATAAAGTAATACAGTTAAATCAATGAAAAGAAAGCACTTTAACTCTTCCCATGCCATCCACCTTATAAGCCACACCAATGGGTATGACATAGGAATGTGCATGTGTCTCTGTGTATATAATTGGGCTAAATTTGACAAAGAAAATACAGTGGTGCCTCGCAAAATGGGCGCTCTGTTTAACAATGAATCCGCATCACGACAAGGTTTTTGCGATCGCAAAATGACGTTTTGAATGGGGGAATTTCGCTGTGCGATGATCGGTTCCCTGTTTTGGGAACCGATTGTTGCTTCCTGATGATCAAAACAGCTGATCGTCAGGTTTTCAAAATGGCTGCCGGGTGCTCAAAATGGTTCCCCGCTGTGTTTAAGAGCCATTTTTTGCTGCACAGGAGCCCGAAAATGGCCACCCCTATGGAGGATCTTCGCTCGACGTCGAGTTCTTAGCCGATTGGAATGCATTAACCAGGTTTAAATGCATTTCAATGGCTTTTTAATTTTCGCTTTACGACGTTTTCGTTCTACAGCGATTCTACTGGAACGAATTAACGTTGTAATGCGAGGCACCACTGTACCAGCTAGAATTGTGAAATCCTAGGGTGACAGGATTTCTCTAAGATTGGAAAACTGGAAACTTTTGAGAATGGTTGGGTGGGGATTCTGAAAACATATTGGCTAGAATCCTATGGTACATTTACACCATAATAACTCCACTGGCATAACTTTTAGCTGTGAATTACTGTCAATTAAGAAAGTAATCATAAGTATTTATTCTTGAACACTGAGTTACCAACTAGTGTGTGATAAGTTTTGCCCATTCAAATTGCCAAGCCATGTAATACGAATATTTGTATTTATGGCAGTCACCATAACTAAAGAATAATAACTCCTGTACATTCTATGTATGTATACAAAGCTCAGTTTCAAGATACATTTCTACATGCCATGTCTAGGTCTATGAGAGGAACATAAGAGTGCTAGTGGAATTCTACTGCTTGCATAATGCTACATGCTTCCCTCCGATTACCACTTTTCTGGTTTGGTGGAACAGTCATAGTAGAAGCAGGGGTAAACCCCAAAATTGGGGATGGGCTTTATTTTTATTTTCTTCTCCCTACTTCTTAGATGGCAAAACTAAAATATACATCCTTAGGTAGCACAGGGTGCAGCAGTTTGCATATCTTTAGTATAGGGCATATTCACAATTTTGCTTCTAGACAATTAAGGCATTTATATTTTTAAATTTCATAAACATGGCAAACAGTACTATTTTACATACTAATTAAGATACTAATGAAAAGTACATGTTGCTAAAATTATAAAATAAATTTAAAGTGTATAGGAAAATAAATATTTCATTTATTTCAACCTCACTTCTCTTTTATAAAAATTGGGGATAATGTTTTTCCCCATGGTTTTAAAATTCCAGAAATTCAGTATCTCTGTTTTGTTGTCATATGCCATCAATCTGCCACTGACTTATGATGACCCTATAAATAAGAGATCTCCACACAGAATGCTAATTCATAATTGCTGCTGATAGACCTGCTCAGTCCTTGCAAATGTAAGGCTCTGACTTCCTTTAGAGAGTCAATTCAAAAATATCTCATTCCAACACAATCTTCATTCTTCCAACTTGGTAGATAAACAATTTTAAATTTCAATTATAGGAGCAATCTGTGCACATTTAGAACTCACCAGAGTTTCAGATGTTGACCGGGAACTTGGAGTCTGGGTTTGATTATAGTGGAGTCTCCAGAAAGAGAGGGAGTCATCAAGGTCTGTAGGGGGAAAAAGACAGAAGTCCAGCTTTGTAAACAACTTATTATCTATCTCTTCCTACCCACTCCTAGTTTTGGAACATATTACATGCCTATGTGCCAGGGACATATATGAGATGAACTCATTCAGGCATTCCCTGAGCAAAGACAGCACCCCATCAGCTGATTCATCTATTCCAGAAGCACCACTGAATTGCTTCTCACATGAATAAAAAAGATGACTATGTATTTGAAATTGCTTTAAACATTTAGGAAACAGTTCTCAATGTCCAGCAGCTCTATGAAGATGATTAAAAATGAAGAATTATATTTTCATGCAACAGAAATGAAAATATAATTGAAATGTACATGAAAATATACAGAGAAAACACATCAGAGAATGACTAGGGCAGAAGAGACTGAGCCAGGGGTAGGGTGGGGTGAGCAAATGTATTCAAATGTCATTTTGAAAAAAATCATTTCATGAGTGGATTAGAGAAAACAAAACATATAATCCTGCTACAGACTTGGCAGGCTGACATTGTAGCAAGGTAGACCATAAGAGATTATAAAGAGTCTCCAAAACACAATAGGAAGCAAATTACTGCAGACTCAGAATAAGGCAAGGAAAGTGCATGAATCAAGTCCACAAAGCATTGGACAGCACTCAAATTCTCAATGTAGGACATAAATATAGAACACATGGATGTAGGCAGTGGAATCTGTTGTTTTGTCAATATCCAAACTGTGGATATGATGTTTGATGTTAAATAGCAGTTGAAGCAGTTGGTATTGAAGCAGATTGCACTCATATATGCTGCTTTCAAGACCCTGGCCTTCTGTCAAAGGAGTCTTAGAGAGAGAGGCCAAATGAAGAAGCTTATTTTTAGCAGATAGGTCAGACACATGGAGAGATTTTGCTAATATAGCAGACAAAAAGGAGCTGAGAGAACTTTGCTGAGGTCCACTTAGGCATGCACACAAGAGGTGTAAGGGAAAGTTCTCTCGGAATCTACTCAGCTTTAGAATATTCAGGGTGTGATTCTGGATAGGCAGAAAAACCCTTATATCAGTCACAATGAAGAACATGTTTTCTGAGGTGTTTATGCACAATTACTTTTTTAAAACACAGAAAATAAAAGGAGCAAAGCCATAAGATTCTTGCTGTTTCATACAAACCTTGGAAACAAGTATAAGACTATGGGCAACCTGGTTCTCCAATGAATATACCTGTACTGTGCACATTTTCAAATGTTAACTTGTTGACCTCAATATTTATAATTTCTATTGTGTTCACTTTGAAGTCTACATATGAAATCGGCCTTGGTTCTCTGTAAGCACTGTCAACCATTTTCTTAAATTAAAATAATTTTTATAATCCCAGTATAGAATTCATTGCAGGGATTCCTTCAAATGAACACTTGGAAGACAGAAATGAAATGCTTACATAATGATAATGACCTGTAATACAGCATGTCTTTTTCAATGTTTTCATGCTACTGTACTATGGAATCATCTTTCTTGAAGATCTAATTAATGTTGTTTTATTTTTCATTCACCCTATTATTATCCTTCACAAAAAAGGAAGAAGTTATCCAATATACTTAATTCCACTGCAGCTATGAACATACCGTTTTCCCAAAAATATGACCTAACCTGAAAATAAGCCCTAGTACCATTTTTCAATATGACCTAACCTGAAAATAAGCTCTAGTACCATTTTTCAGGATGCTCGTATTATCAGCCCTATCCCCAAAATAAGCCCCAGTTAAGAGAAAACCCACCCTCCATCATTTTGCAGCAACCAGAAGAAGATGACGTGACTGTATTTGAATAAATGTAGATAGTTGTACATGAATAAAATAAAACATCCCCTGAAAATAAGCCCTAATGTGTTTTGGGAGCAAAAATTAATATAAGACTGTGAGGGTTCGTCTTTTGAGCCTAATACTTTTTCGAAGGAACCAGGAGACTTTTTAAACTTTGAAACAGGGGAGAGGTTAATTGGGTTATTCAACAATAGTCCAATATCAAACAATGGGTCCCATAACTTGTCGCCTGTTGCCAATGGGTTGGACAGGGGCTTCCAAGCTTCTTCAAGAAAAGGATTCGTCCCGGAATCATTCCACGGGCCCAGTCAGTCTAGGGCAACATTGTCCTTCACAATTTCACGAACTGGTCTTTCCAGTAGGGGAATGGTCTCCTCCTCTGTAAAGAAAAGGATTCGTCCCGGAATCATTCCATGGGCCCGGTCAGTCTAGGGCAACATTGTCCTTCAGAATTTCATGGACTGGTCTTTCCAGTACGGAAAAGATCTCCTCCTCTGTGAAGTCTGGTCCTCCATCGTCTCTGGTGGGGGAAAAGGTCATCCAGCGTCCCCCGGATAATTTCTCCTCCTCATTTCCTCCACCCTCCATGCCAACCTCTTGTTTTCCCTGCTCTACTTTCTCCTTCTCCTTTCTCAACCTCCTTCGCCACTCACGAGCTTCTGCTTCTCCCCAGTAAGAGGGTCCAGGGGAAATCTCTCTTCTATGGCGATAATCAGCCTCTTCCTTTGGAACTCTCAAGTGTTCCCAGATACCTGTCCATGGGTACTGCATCCAGACCCATTCCCAGCCTGGCAGCAACTGGCTGTTCTCCCCTTTTATCTTTGCCATTCCCACCTCTATTCCCACCCTCTGACGTCTGTTCTTTTCCGCCAATTCTGGTCGTTTTACTTCTAACCTGCACAACTCCTGTTCCAATTCCCGGGTGTCGGTCCCAGACTGTTCACTTTTCCAAGGGCGGGGATGGGAGAAATCTGAACCTCCCTCTCAGTGGTTTTGGAAGGGACAGCACTCTGCCAAGAGGGCTCTTACTCTCGGCCTCACTCTCACAAAGACCCTGTCTTACTTTTGGGGAAACATGGTAATTGTATCTTGGATACTAAATCAGATTGACTGATATCTTACTTGAAACACTATGTTAGCATTACACACAAAAAGATAATACTTAAGAATAATAACACTGTTTAAACCAGCAATCATAAGAAGTAACTCTATTGAACACATCCAGAAGTGCAAGTGAAATTCAAGTTACATGAATTCTTTAAAGTGTCATTTACCATTTATGCTATTCTTTTCTGCTGCCAGGCTGTCTCCTGAGGAACAATGAAGATCAAACGTATACCGACCCAGGTAGCACTCTTTCACCATCTCATTCAAATGCTCATAGAAGTGGCAATGATATAATAGGGCCTGCAGGGCAGGTTTTCCTGTCAGAGAAAGACCAAATTCTTCATCATGCACACAAGGTCCCTGGGAACGTAAGGAGAAGAAGCTTGTCAATTTTTTCCCTTAAAGCACTGGCTGTCAATCAATAGGATGCACTCTCACTTCTTCAGACTGAGGTGGAACAAAAATCTACTGTGTCAAAAAATCTATTAAAATTGGGGGATGAGGCAAAGGTACATTTACAGCCCCTACCAGGTGTAGGTACCAACACCAACATCCAGAAGGCCACAAATTCTCCAACCTTGCTGAAGAATCTATTTTTTAAAAAAACAACTTTGACTTCTCATGATGTGTACAAAGCAGGACAACGTTCTAGCTTCTTTTACATGAATAAATAAAAAATATATGCTTTGTGTCCTCAGCTAACTTGCCCTAATTTTGGCACTTTAGAAAAAAGGAAGCAGATTACAAACAAAGTTTTACTGAAACTTCTTTCTTTGGGATTTTGCCCCACAAAAATATACTGTTTCTATTTGAAATGAAGCAAAATCAGAAGAATTAATTTTCTATTCGTTTCCAAATTCTCCCTTATCTTTGGGATTTTGCCCCACAAAAATATACTCATCTCTACTGTTTCTATTTGAAAACGAAATGAAGCAAAATCAGAAGAATTACTTTTCTATTAGTTTTCAAATTATCCCTTACAGAATGACAGTTTATCTGCAGAAGATGTGCACTGACAGAATCAAGCATGACAACTGCATACTCTAGAAATGTAACAATGTTAAAGAGAATGAATCAAAATTTTGATATTTGGCTTTGCTGATGCCAATTTGCTTTTTCTGTGCCTAGCACTTCACAGGCACAGAACTGTGCCAAAAACCAGGTGTCAGGTGAATGCATGCAGCTGGTACATGCAACCTTGAAACCACATGACATTTTGTAATCTGATGATTTGGAATTACATGCCGTGATTAAGTGAGTGCAAAAAGAATTTCATTTACAAGAGGATGCAAAAACAAACTACTGAGCAGTAATATCAGCCATTCTTTTCAAAGAATACTGTAGAAAGATGTCCAGAATTGTATCGGTATACATGTAAGCTTTGTGTAACCTGCTGCAGCTGCTTGCATCAATTGACAGTATGCATTTATTATGCAACCAAGATGTGCCCCAGAACCTTGTCAATTAATCATAAACAGATATGGCAATTGATGAAAAATTCATACCGATTACCAACAGAAATCTGTGCTGTATCTCTTTTTGCAACATTCTCCCCATCCATTCTCACAAAAGCTGTCCAAATTCTCCCAACACCCACTCAGAATGATGTTAGCCACATCAAGGCATAACTCTAAATGAATAACACACCAAGATAAAAACTGGTAGGTGAAATGGGCAGTGTGTTTGGTTTCAACCCTATAGTTGCACATTTCTTCCCACCACCACAACAGAATGTCTGGAGCAAGATGACTTCCATTTTCATGAGCACTGACTAAATGAAACTCAACTAAGATGTTCTTTGTCTACGGAGAACTGCTTTACAACCTTCCTCCTATACTGTCTACTTAATTCTGCTAGCACTTGCCTAAGTCCTTGCAGAATACCACTATTCTCTTTTTCTTTGCTGTACCTTGGATCTAGTCCATTAAGAAGTATTTTGAAAGCATTCACTTGCTCCTGAAATAGAGTTCTTAAACATTCACAAACCATTTTGAAAATGCAATGCAAGTATATTAAAAAGTATTAAGCTACAGCTTGAAAATTGACAAGCTCAAACAGGCAGCTTACCAAATTGTCTAAAGTAATCTGTGTTGGCATTCTTTTCCTTTGCAACAGGAATTCCATCCCCCTACATCATCCTTCTGTATCCCTGAAGCAGCTATATTAAGATGCTTGAAAATTAATTATTCAAACAGCTTTTCCGAACCACGAGTGCCTGCAAACCCCTGACTCACAACTCCCAGAGCCACAGCCGTTGGCTATCAGCCCACAAAAGAAAGTCCAAAAATGTCTGGCTACAGTAATCCTCCTGAAACAGCTTCCTCTGACCAATTACAATATCTGTTGGCTTCACTGCTGAGCATAAGCATGGGATTTTATTTCTGGAAGTGCCCTATATCTTATCTGCTTGCTGCTGCACATCAGGAAGGTATCGGCACCAGCAAGACAACTGAGTAATGGACTTAGAAGATTACTGGCTTCCCACATTCCACACCCCAGTGATGGCAAAGGGAGTTCTAAGGACTGGTGGCTGTTGAACATTTTTTGTTTGTTCAGAGCTGCAAGCAGTATTGGAAGTAGGAAGAGGTCTCTGTAGCACATCTGTTCTTTGGCACACGCACCCTGTCCTTTGTTGCCACTGCTTCTAAGTAGGCAGGGCAGGAACCACAATACCATTGTTGGATACCAGCAACAGCAGCTGGCATTCTTGTGGAGAAAAAAACTATTTCTCTTTGGCAGAGATACTCTCAAAACAGGAGGAAAATGATATTTTGCTAAGTCTCAACATACATCAATTGATCTGTCATTTTAAGTGTGATATCCATTCATCCGTAAATCAGATGTCACTGTGGTGAACCATTTTGAAAACAACTATGATTTTCAAGTCTTACATGGTTAATGTAAGATATACAACCTATAGGGACTTTTATTTTTCTTGGACTTTAGCCCCCAGAATTCAGCAGAAATCTCAACAGGTAGAATTCTGGGGATCCCAGCCTCAAACATTAAAGTCCTTATCAGAGTTTTCAATTAAAGATTGTTAACTTCCTCAGATAACTCTCCCCCCCCCCCACAGGGGTTTAACAGAAAACTCCTGTGAGGACTTTAATTTTGTGGCTAAAGCCCCCAGAATTCTGGCTGGGGAATTCCTGCTGAATTCTGAAGGCCATAACCCACATTGATCACTCAAATTGAGATACTGCAGTTCCACTGTGTTGATTGGAAAAAGACGAGGCCTCCTTGTGCTGAAATAAATGGGTTGAAAATTCTGTTTAACTAGGTGATGCCCTAAATTAATTTATGAGCCATTTCTCAACATACTTGGGAAGGTTAACACAGCTATATAACTATGAGATTATGGTTTTCTCTGGCATTGGTGGAATTTTGTAAGGATCAACAATATTGGGAAAACCTCCCCTTGCTGGTCTCCTGATTTTGAGGACAGGATAAGACTCAAATTTTTCTGCACACATTTTTGAAAGCAGTTTATGCCCTTCCTTCCTTCTAACAAGGTCACAAAATCTTGGGCATACTGATCATATTGATGAGTGGTAGCAACATATCAAGTCAACTAGTTACCTGCCAAATGGGGTCTTTAACCTCTTCAGTGGGCAACGGGATCACCAACAGATTCTGAAGAATAAATGCAGCCTACAAAGAGAAACCAAACATCAACAGTGCCATCTGGCTGCAGCTAAACAACCTAAAGCAAGTAGCCAGCTTCAAATATACACTCAATCACTGCTAAAAGTAGCAAGTACGTCTAGACCATTATAATCTTTCTATTATAAGAATCCAGGTGTTATTAGATTTTTCTGAGACCCACTAAAAATTAAAAATAAAATGTTATATGTTACTATGAAATTCAGAGGAGGTAAGAAAAGACCCTCCCATTTTATTTTTACAACAAATCCCTGTGGAGAACAATAGTAGCACAAATGAAATTCCTATTATGAGAGTTAAAAGGCAGGTGCACACATAAAATTTATTTTTAACAACAATTTCTTCAATTGTTGATACTTCAGCCACTTTTATGTGAATTGCCTTCCGCGTATTACTTTCTTTTCCATCTTACTTTATTTATTGGCAGTATGTAAACACTACAGGCTTCTTTTGTTTTTAAAACGACAATGAGAACCTATATTCATTCTATATTTCTTTACCATCAGGAGATTTGTTGTGAATCATAAGAGAGTAGCAATACACAATGAAAAAATCAAAAATCAAAATAAAATAAATGTTCTGGGGCCTTTACAAAACCACTAGAATCACAATTTTCAAAGTGGTAACCATATCTGTCTCTTTTCAGCTTGTGTAACAGACATGAAAATAAAACATATGTGGCACCTTAAAAACACATTTATTTCAATGTGAGCTCTTCTGGATTACAATCTGCTTCTTTGGACACAGTAGCTAGGTCAATGGTTTACATACACAGAGGATATGGTAGAGTAGTGGGCATGATGGAAGAAAGAGGGTAACAATTACATCGATAAGGAACTTTCAAGTGGCAATGGGATTATTAACACTGACAATGTAATTACTGATTACATAAAGATTCAATCAAAAATTTTTAGGATGCATGCTAGGCTACAGTTATGCCAAGTTAAAAAGCATTTTAGTTATAGCTATATCTAGGACGATGGATGAATCTAGAACATTAATATAGAGTGTTTGCTAAGAATCCTTGGTTCTTATTTAATTCTTTGTATCTGCCCAGGAAGCTGTGAATATAGCCCCTTTCAGTGATATGAAACTGGCTTCTGCATTTCTATTTGTCAGACTTGTGCCCATTTATCCTGTTGCACAGAAATTTTCCTGTTTACCACATGTAGAATAGAGAGGAACAGCACTGGCAAAGGTTGGCATAGAATGCATTATGAGATGAACAATTAAACAAGCCTTTGATGTGTGGGTAATGTTGCTGGGGCCATAACAGTGGTGTCAGATTAGACATGGCATCTATGTTTGCAGCAGGGTCTTGTCCTTCCTCTGCATCATTTTTGTATGGCTTGCTGTGAGCCAATACCTCTTTAAGCCTCGGGGGCTGACTGTGAGTGGGCTGATTTCCTAGGGCCTGGAAAAGTGAAATATTGTTGTCCACAGTGGGCTGTAGACTATTCAGAATATATCTGACGGAGAATTAAATATGGACCTAGAATCCTTAGCATATGCACTGAAATGTTTCCCAAACATGCTAGCTTTCCCTGCTTTGATGGGGAGGGCTCACCATGAACACTAGGAAAGTGCTTTGAAAATCTTACACAAGCGGTAGCCAAGCGACTATTCCCTTTATTAATCCTTCACCTGGGATGACACGCTTGATGAATTTCACTCTCAGAGATAAGAGTTCTATCCAGTAAGTTACACAAGAAAGCTCACAGAACTAATTGTATGTGATTGGCAGGACTTTACTGCAGACGTGCATAACAGCCAAACTGTTCACAAGTGCTATAAAGAGTCTTTCCAACAGTTTAGGGGTGACTAGCAAGGAGGACTGGAAGAGAAAGACTGATAATGAAAGATGGCTTCTATTCACATAGCCACTATACACAAATTAAGATCAGGTATATTATATGATCAGCAATGGGCCTTTAAGAGCATGTTCACAAGACAAATATCTTTCAGAGAGCAGGATTTACATACCTCTCTTCGGACCATGCTACATTCAGTTTTGTCTAGAAGGATGTTAAGCACTGTTCCCCATAAGCCTCCTGAAATGTTTCGGCAGCTTTCAACTAAAGCGAAACAACCTACTTCGACTGATGTGAGGGCCGATCCTATTGCAAGTGATGTGAATTTTACCTATCATTAATGAGAACCAAATGAATTTACACATTAAAATCCAGCACTGTATCAATGCTTTAAGTAGAGCATTATCACTGTTTAGAAGCTTTGAAAAACTGCATGTCGGTTATCAAAGCCAAGGCAAGAATCAGATACATTTACTCATTTCACCAATGTTTTTATAGAGCATTTTCACCCTATAGAACAGTGATGGTGAATCTTTTTAAGCTCGAGTGCCCAAACTGAAAAATAAAACAACAATCCAGCAGGCGGTGGCGGCGGGAATCCCGGTAATAAAGGTGCCTCCAGACCCCACTCTGGATCCGCCTCCAGTCGTGGCCAACCCTGCCACTGCCTATAGCTGTCGGCCTGCCACCACCAGCTGCTCCAGATCCTGGCCTGCCGGGGCACTAGCACCACGGCTGCAACCTCCTCCTCAGGTTTGGCTGCCAGGGGTTGTGGTCCAGCGACTTATGGCTTATGTACCCACAGAGAGGTCTCTGAGTGCCATAGGTTCACCATTGCTGCTATAAAAGCTTTGAAAAATTACAAATCATTGAAGTCAATATGAAATGTTTTGTCTCCACCCAGTTGTACAATATTTTTTTAAAATGTAATTTCATGAACAGCTAGCAATTACTGGAAACTTAAATTCACATTTTGGATGTGGTTTAACAATGTAAAAATGCAATTATCATCTCATCATATGTATCCTAGTACCTATAAAATGAACACAAAGCAATTCATTGTAGCACAAATGAAGAAACAACACTTTAAAAAACCCTTCTTTGTAGTCTAGTCCATTAAATTACTCTTTTTTCATTGAAGAGTGTTGCCAAAATGGTGTTAAAAAACGGCCTGATTATCCAGTTCGTGCAAGCATTTTGCTCATTGGAACAAAAAACCAGAACCTTTTCCTATAGCTTTTCAAAGTTGCTTCTGTACAACCCTTTTGAAGATGATCCTTCTAGGACAGCAAGGAATAGTTCAAAGCTTTGCACAATAACATAAATTGGAACCATGGTCCTCTGATTCCACTGTGCCCTCAGAAGGATTCAGACAACAACTTTAAAGCAAAACAAAAAAATTATTAAATGTGTTACCATTTCAACAGTTATTTCCCTTGAGATGGAGATGATAAGCAGGAGGAAGTACTGTGGATATACAGAAGCAACAGCGTAACAAAAAGTAAGGCTGTTTTTCTGCCCTTTGGAAGCAATTCCCATGTATGAGAAATTGTAAGGTCTGAAAGAGTGTGAAGAAGGAACCACTAACGTGAACATGCAATGAGACTGACATCTAGAGAGAAGCTTGTTCTGTAGCAAAATATGCAAAACCCCTTCTCCAGGATTCAATAATGTCTTCAACTGGAAAAGGAGAAAGAGACTTTTGTTCTGTAGTTCATGTTTCTCATATTGATTCCTGCACTGAGAGGAGAAAGCTGTTAAAGCAGCTGTTCTCCTGCCCCCCATCCCAGCTTATAAGCAAGAAAAGAATAGAATAAATTATTTCACCTTCGCCCTCTCCACTTTCCTAGAAAAGAGAAACATTACTTTTGCAGTGATAATGGCTCTTCTCCCTCTCCTCACCAGCAGCTTCAACCTCCTTTTTCACCCACTTTTAATTTACCTTGAAGACCAATATTTCCAGGCCTTCAGCCTTCGTCACCTGTTGTTAAACTGGAGTCTGTTATACTTTGGGGCTGAGAAATTTATTCAGAACCAAGGCTACATTAAAAATACATAATGAGCCTAAGGGCCTCTACAACTTCATATAATTTAAATATCAGCTACTGCAATTAACTCATTTATATATCATTTTAATGAAAATCAGCAGATGCCCAACTACAGCTGGTGGGCATGTTGCACTTACTCAACAACGTAGTTACTCTTACATTTCCCTCTGGCGAAATTAAAATTAGGCCTGGAGATCAGGCCAAACACAGGTGAGCATGTAACAATTTTTTTCAAGTGCCATGGTATGGCTTTCCATGCTGGATCTCCAAGGTGATTTACACCCTTACAGAGCCATACAGATAATCAGACTTCAGGTAATGTAGAGTGAGTATAACAATCCTTGCACCCCATGAGCAGTATACAGTACTTACAAAATTTGCAATTATTTATTCATAATATTTGTAATTATTAACCTATTGTTGTAATTTTAGATCTAATTTTTCACATGGTGCGACACTGCCCACTCCAATATCTATGTACTAAGCCAGAGGTCTTTGTCACAGGAAACCTGGCAGAACACAGGCTCCCTTGTTGGGCATCTGATGGCAGATGATTACCAGATTAATATACAATCATCACTGGTGACTTTACTTGTGGAATGCCCAATTCTCCATCTTATCTAGGCAAACTCAGAGAAAGCACGTGCCTAATCCAGGTCTATGACAAGTCAGAAACCTTCAGTTCCTCTAAACAATTACAACATGATTTCTACACTTCTATGTCTCTGAAGAAAGACCCAGAAACCTTCAGTTCCTCTAAACAATTACTACACTTCTATGTCTCTGAAGAAAGACTAAAGTTCTCCTATATCTTGGTAGGTAACAGACATGAGCTCATTTTCCATTTAAATTTTCACAAAACATACAAAGCCAAAAGGAAAAAAAAAGTCTGCATTGTTTACATAGCTCATTAACACGTCTGCTAATTTAATCTAGTGTGCCATACCTCATGCATACATACAGAGATTTAAGGCATTGAACACTGACAGTTTAACCAACAGAGCGAGAGAGAGAGAGAGACATTTCACACAAATATTGTTTTCACTAAGACCTGGTCATTTTTATCTCTGCTGTTATACTGTGCCTTCATGTTGAATGGTCCTAACTGTTCTCTCCAGTTCAAACTTTGGAGCTAAAAAGGGAAGAAGGAGGCTGCCTTCATGTTGAATGGTCCTAACTGTTCAAACTTCCAGTTAAAACTTTGGAGCTAAAAAGGGAAGCAGGAGGCTAAATGGTTGGGTTGCTGTATTACTGAGATGCTCATGTACGATTCAGTGTCCAAAGAATGTTTAGTCTTCTTCTTGCATTTGAATCTGAGCAGAAGAATCACAACTCAGCTGCCAAGATGATCACTGCCCACCTCTGGAGCTACAAAACTGCAAGCAAAGCTGGCCGGCCACTCACCACACTCACCAGAGGAACAATATATACGTGCCATGGCAAGTAAGACAGGCAGGTCTAAAGATGTTGATTCAAAAACATCGTATTTTCAGGGTTAAAAGGTACGATAAAATAAATGCAGAATATAGGATTTCACTGACCTCTGAGTCTCTGTCTACCCATAATGGAATCAGCCAAGCTAAGCTTTGTCGAGGACAAACTTGTTCTTCACTGTTATCGTACGGCAAGTACCAGAGAGATATCCAGTCCTAAAAAAGAAAGGTTTTTTTTTGCTAAATAAAAATCCAGCCTCATACTTCATCTGTTATATAAATGCTGGTTCAACATATTTTTCTCAGCATTTATGATTACGCATATCTGTGTCCTAGTAAGTTGTACAATTTAACTGCTACCTTGCAAAAAAACATGATCACAAGAAAGTAAGAAGTCACCATCCTAGAATATGGACACTGTAAGGGAAAAGGAACTACACACCATCTGAAATGAAAGGAACAGTGGAGGTTGTTAAAATAAAATAATAATAATAAAAAATCCTCCATCTCTGGTCCTTGCCATGCAGAGTTTTTATATAATGCTTACGTACTTACCCAAATGCAAACCTGCTTGAGCCATGTTAATGTCAAGGCTAGCTTTCTACTGAAGTCTAGTCTGTGTAGTAACAAGTATTGTGCTGTTTCCACCTACTTCTTGCACAATAGAGGCACCTGCACAATGAGTGCAATCCCACATTAAGTCAATGGGGGTTTCTACTTAACACAAGCTCAATAGGACACTGGCCCAAGGCCCTCCTCTGGCTGAAAATGTCTGCTGATCAGATGAGTCTGCATATACATTTTGCTGCCAGTGGAGTGCAGATAATTAAAAAGAAAAAAAAAGCCAGCACCACCAGGAAAGCCTAGTTTAGCAGCTCTAGTCCCACTTAGTCGAAGGCACGAATGGCACGGCTCACCTGAAGGATGAAATGACATCCCTGAAACATGACTTCTGCAGGGGAGCTTTCGGGAAGCAGCGAACCCTGTGCCACAGTGTTGTGCTTCTCACGGTTCCTACCACTTCAATTCTTCGAAACATTTATTTCTTTTTAAATACAGCACCATGGCAAACAGACATAGGTCTCCAAAATGGTAAAACAGCATGTTATTCCCTTAGTGACTTAATTACATCTAGAGGTTTATTTCCCAAAAGGCTGAGGGTACTAAATCTCCACACAGGTTAAACCTTACATGACTAGTTTCAAAGTTACACACTTTTTGACTTCTATCCCCGTGGTCCCCAACCTTGGGCCTCCAGATGTTCTTAGACTTCAACTTCCAGAAATCCTGGCCAGCAGAAGTGGTAGTGAAGGCTTCTGGGAATTGCAGTCCAAGAACATCTGGAGGCCCAAGGTTGGGGACCACTGTACATCATAGCCATTCAAAAGACAAGCTACATGGAACTTTAGAGAATGAGGAACAAGCTATGCTGCATCCTACATGTGAAGAAAAAGCAGCCAATAGAGAACTGTTGGTCAATGAGACCTGAGAAGAAAATTCCAGGTATGTAAGCAAATCAGCCATGGAAAAAAATTTTCAATGACAAGTCTTTTTATGTTTCTAGTTTTTTAGATCTCAGAAATTTGCTACTTAAGCATCCCATTCAAGTCTACATACTAAGCTCTTTTTTTGTTCTCTAGGCATACTCGTTCTTTTATGTGGCTGCTGTTTAAATGAGCACTGATTGCAAAGCTCGAGGCAATATTATTCAATGTTCACACTTAACTCCAATCATAACAAACAGATCTTCAGAAGTGCAAAATGACTACCAGGCAGTTCCACACTACAAAACCAATCACAGTTATCAGTAGCTGTAAGCTATCTGGGACAATGGCTTTTAAAATTCTCTTACCACATTTGGGGCCTGAGCCATCATTTCATGGGACAAGTGAAGCAAACACAGGATGGTGCTCTTTGTGACCCCTTTCCCCATGAAAGACATGGCATTTCCTCCCCATTCAACATAAAAAGATGAAATGACCTGGAAAGGTGGGAGGAAAAACAACAACAGAGCAATGACATGACAGCTTTTCCAAAAGGTACACTTTGATATATATAAAGAAATGCAAGGGCCAGCTGCTGACCCTTGCAAAGATGACAAATTCTTAACTTCACTATTTGTAGACTCTCCCATATGGTTTTCACAGACAGGCTTGTAAACATTATAAATGTTGATCCTGTCTCCTGGAGCCCTTGTTTAAACATTAAGTCATCTCTTCTCTTTTTTCTAGATGACAACTATATAACTGCTCTTCACCTTGTTCAAGGTTTCATCATGTTCAAAAGAACCAAAACTGAAACTGGATAAAAGCAAAATGATCCAGGATAAATCTGCTACCTAACATGATTTTTGTGTGTGGATCTTCAGTGAAACAGTATATTTATTTATTTATGTATTTATGTATTTATGTATTTATGTATTTATTTAATTTATTTAATTTAATTTAATTTAATTTATATGCTGCCCACACTACCCAAAGGACTCTGGGCGGCTTACAACATTTAAAATACAATAAAAATTCGTAACAATTAAAATACAATTAATATATATATATAAAATTGCCATCGGACCCACACCAATATTATTTCAATTAAAAGCCTTCTGGAACAGGAAG